CTCCTGAGTAGCTGGGATTACAGGGACGTGCCACCATGCCCAGCTAATTTTTTGTATATATATATATATTTTTAACAGAGACGGGGTTTCACCATGTTGACCAGGATGGTCTCGATTTCTTGACCTCGTGATCCACCCGCCTCGGCCTCCCAAAGTGCTGGGATTACAGGCTTGAGCCACCGCGCCCGGCATGTCTTCATATCTTTCTAAACATTTATGGAAGATTAGTCTGGGCACGGTGGCTCATGCCTGTAATCCCAGTGCTTTGGGAGGCTGAGGCAGGCAATTCACTTGAGGCCAGGAGTTTGAGATCAGCCTGGCCAAATGGTGAAATTTTGTCTCTACTAAAAATACAAAACTTAGTGGGGCAAGGTGGCAGTCACCTGTAATCCCAGCTACCCGGGAGGTTGGGGTGGGAGAATCACTTGAACTTGGGAGGTGGAGGTTGTGGTGAGCAAAGATCGTGCCATTGCACTCCAGCCTGGGCGACAGAGTGAAACTCTATCTCAAAAAAAAAAAAAAGAAATATGGAAGATTTAAAAACATTATGGAGTAAATAAAGGAGTAAATGTAAATGCTATACTATTTTTTAAATTACAGAGTTCAGAATAAATATTTTATCGCTTGACGATCTGGCTCCAGTTGTCAGTGAGAACTCAGATCTGGAACAGGAAGTAAGTACAACAAAGTCATTTTTCATTGTCAATTGTTTTTTGCTTAAAAAAAATTTGTTTTTGCCTGGGTGTGGTGGCTCACGCCTGTAATCCAAGCGCTTTGGAGGCCAAGGCGGGTGGATCACCTGGGGTCAGGAGTTCAAAACCAGCCTGACCAACATGGTGAAACCCCATCTATTTAAAATAAATAAATAAATAAAAATAAAATAATTTGTTTTTAAGTATAGGCGGGGTCTCACTCTTTTGCCCAGGCTAGCCTCAAACTGGGCCCAAGCAATCCTCCCCACTCGGCCTCCCAAAGTGCTGGGATTACAGATGTGAGCCACCGTGCCTGGCCCAATGTTCATTCATTTTGATCTGTCTACCTTGGCCTCCCAGAGTGCTGGGATGAGCCATTGTGCCTGGCCTAAGTTTTTTTCTTATAGAGATAGGGTCTTGCTATGTTGCCCAGGCAGGTCTTGAACTCCTGAGCTCAAAGGATCTTACTACTCAGTCACCTAAAGTCCTTAAGTCCATGATGAAATTTTTTTTTTTTTTTTGAGATGGAGTTTCGCTCTTGTTGCCCAGGCTGGAGTGCAGTGGTGCAATCTTGGCTCACCACAACCCTCCTGGGTTCAAGCAATTCTCCTGCCTTAGCCTCCCAAAGAGTTGGGATTATAGGCATGTGCCACCACGCCTCGCTAATTTTGTATTTTTTTTAGTAGAGTTGGGGTTTCTCCATGTCGGTCAGACTGGTCTCGAACTCCTGACCTCAGGTGATCCACCTGCCTCAGCCTCCCAAAATGCTGGGATGAGAGGCGTGAGCCACCGTGTCCGGCCGATGTTAAATGCCATCTGTGCCACCTAAGCATGCATCACACCCTCCGGGTTCCCTGCAGCCCCGTGGACATCCCATGCTGAAGACTCAGGAGTTCTGTTGAGAATACTCCATGCCCACACCTAATGAGGACCCAGCGTGTCCCCTTGCCTGCTGGAGTGCTGGAGGTCCCCAGCTCCTAGGAATGTGGTGATCCTGGCATGTTGATCTTTCCAAAACACTTCCCAGCCACCTCTGCCATTCCTCATTTTAGGAGGAAAGTGCTCACAGGGAAAAAACAGCTGGCACAATCTTCAGAGCCGAGGCATCTGCTGGGCAGGATGCCCCGAGGCCTGCCCAGGCGAGGAGCTGGGCATTGCGGGGAAAGGCCGCCTCTGCAGAGGGGCATGAGAGCGAGGTCTCAGAGCATCTCAGTGCCTGCTCGGCTCCTGGCGTCCGGCCGGACAGCGCTTCCAGCATGCAGCCGCCGTCTGAAGCCCCCATGGTGAACACAGTCAGCTCAGCCTACTCTGAGGATTTTGAAAACTCTCCAAGTCTGACGGCATCTGAGCCAACTGCCCGTTCCAGGGAGTCTCTTGACAGAACACTGGACGTTCTGTCTGAATCTTCTTCCAGTGCGAAGACAGACCTTCCACAAACAGCTGAGTCTAGGAAAACGCCAGGCAGGCATGTGACAAGAGTCCTTGTGAAGGACACAGCTGTGCAGACGCCCGATCCCGCCTTCACCTACGAGTGGACCAAGGGTAAGCATGGTGGGCCGCAGGGGCTGGGGTGGCCGGGACGGGAGCTCAGTGTGTGGTTTATAGCATCCCAGGAGACCTGGGAGAGCTCAGGTTCCAGAGATTTGGGCTCGTAATAAAATCACCTGGGGGTGGGGGGTAGGCCGGGCGCGGTGGCTCACGCCCCTAATCCCAACACTTTGGGAGGCCGAGGCAGGCAGATCATTTGAGGTAAGGAGTTCAAGACCAGCCTGGCCAACATGGCGAAACCCCAATCTCTACTAAAAATACAAAAATTAGCCAGACGTCATGGTGCATGCCTGTAATCCCAGCTACTCAGGAGGTTGAGGCAGGAGAATCGCATGAACCTGGATGATAGAGGTTGCAGTGAGCTGAGGTCGTGTCACTATACTCCAGCCTGAGTGACAGAATGGGACTCTGTTTCAAAAAAAAAAAAAAAAAAAAAATCACCCAAGTACTTTGGCCCACCATTTCCCATTCATGGATAAGAGGCAGCTGCCCTGGTGTGTCCCGATGTCTCCTACCCTAAAGTGTTCAGAAGGATGAGAACCGAGGACTGGGTTAGCAGGTCCCACCCAGGGTGGTTCTGTCACGGAGGGACTCCAGCAAGGTCTGGAGATGTTGTTAGTTGTCACAACTGGGGTGGGGATGCTATCAGCATCTGCGGGTGGAGGCCAGGCTGCTGTCCACGCCCACAGTGCACCAGACGCCTTTGTCCTACAGCAGGAACTCCCTTCGCTGACTTTCCCCACATCTCTCTGTCTCTCTCACTGTTTTCAGAAATGAGGTCTTGCTCTGATATCCAAGCTGGAGTACAGTGACCCAATCACGGCTCATTGCAGCCTCAACCTCCCCAGGCTCAGGTGATCTTCCCACCTCAGCCTCCTGAGTAGTTAGGATTACAAGCACGCACTCCCATGCCTGGCTGATTTTTATGTATTTTGCAGAGAAGGGGTCTTGCCATATTGCCCAGGCTGGTCTCGAACTCCTGGGCTCAAGCAATCTGCCGGCCTCAGCCTCCCAAAGTGTTGAGATTACATGCATGAGCCACTGCACCCAGCCCTGGATCATAATTTAGTTTTTTTTTGTGTGTGTAGAGAGTCTTCTTATGTTGCCTAGTCTGGCCTTAAACTCCGGGGCTCAAGTGATCCTTCCACCTGACCACTTTGGACTCCCAAGCTGCTGGGACTACAGGAGTGAGCCACTATGCCTGGCCTGCAGACACCTCTCTCAGCCCCAGCTTCACTCTCAGCTCTTGCTGGTGGAAAGGCCCCTTTCTTTTCAACAGTCTTATATTATTATTTTATTTTATTTTATTTTGTTGTTTATTTTATTTATTAATTTTTTTCGAGACAGAGTTTCGCTCTTGCTGCCCAGGCAGGAGTGCAGTGGCGCGATCTTGGCTCACTGCAACCTCTGCCTCCCAGATTCAAGTGATTCTCCTGCCTCAGCCTCTCAAGTAGCTGGGATTACAGGGATGCACCACCATGCTGGGCTAATTTTCTGTTTTTAGTAGAGATGGGGTTTCTCCATGTTGGCCACGGTGGTCTTGAACTCCTGACTTCATGATCCACCGCCTCGGCCTCCCAAAATGCTGCGATTATAGGCGTGAGCCACCATGCCCAACCTATTTTATTTTATTTTATATGGTGGGGTCTCACTCTGTCACTTAGGCTAGAGTGCAGTGGTGCAATCTTTGCTCACTGCAACCTCCACCTCCTGGGTTTCAGCGACTCTCACCTTAGCTTCCTTAGTCGCTGGAACTGTGGGCACGCATCACCATGCCTGGCTGATAGACATTCCCTTGGAATCTCCCTTTTTTCATCCATATGGTTCTTGACAAGGTAGACTGTGCTTGTCCCTGGAGGTGAAAAGTGATGTAATTCTCACTAGATCTATTTGTTTTGATTTGGGGGCTTAACCTAATATTAGCCTGACTGGCCCCCACTGGGAGAAGGGTGACTGGTGTCTGTTTCTCAGGAGGGAAAGTCAATCAGATTGGTCAAGTCAAATCACCAGGAGGTGTTAAATGGTATTTTCTTTTCTTTATTTTTTTTTTTGAAAAAAAGAGAGATGGGGTGTCACCATGTTGTCCAGGCTGGTCTCAAACTCCTGACCTCAGGTGATCCACCCATCTCGGGCTCCCAAGATGCTGGGATTACAGGCATAAGCCACCACGCCCAGCTCTTTTTTTTTTTTTTT